ACATTTGATTCTGTATATTGCCGTGGGGGGGGACCAAGCTGAGACCAAAATCAGAAAAAAACTGCATTATTTAAGAATGACAATCCTTTGGTCTCAAATATTAGTATTTAGTTACGAATACACAATATTATACCACTGATGATCAAATTTTTGTGTGAGCGACTCAGTAGGGTAAGAGATGTGTAAAAAGCTGTATGTTACAGCCTAGTTCTAGTAGCCTACAAATATGTCAATGCAAGTTTTCCTGGCTATTTGTTTGATATTTCATTATCTGTCAAACAAGCAGACACTGTTATTTATAAGGGTGCCACGGTGGTTAAGCATGCACAAACTTTGTCCTTACAGGAGAGGGAGACACAACATTTTATTATTCAATATGGGACGATCCCATGGTAACTCTGTTCTGAGGGGAACAGTCTTTGTTCCCCCTATGGTTTCGTAAGATCAGTAGTGTTTTAAACCAGTCAGCATTAAAAACAAAAAAGAGAAATGATTTGTGCTATGTCTGAGTACGCCTGCTGTTTTTCTACTAGCGGAACCTGATACATGTAAAGCTGATTATGATATAATAAACCGATCAAAGAACTCATAGAAAATTCAATTCATTTTTATATAGTGCCTTCCACAACAGAGTTGCCCCAAGGCGCTTTAAATGGGTGTGTTGTGATACATTCCTACATCATTAATATACACTGCTCAAAAAAATTAAAGGAACACTTTTTAATCAAGTCAATTAAACTTCTGGGATATTGATCTGGGTGTGAGTTTCCCGAAGCGTTCTTAACGCTACGTCGTTCTTAAGTTCTGTGTTAAAAGATAGAACTAACGAACGACGTAGCGTTAAGAAGGCTTCGGGAAACTCACCCCTGGTCAGTTAAGTAGCAGAGGGGGTTGTTAATCAGTTTCAGCTGCTTTGGTGTTAATGAAATTAACAACAGGTGCACTAGAGGGGCAACAATGAGACGACCCCCCAAACAGGATTTAACACGTGGAGGCCACTGAAATTTTTTCCTTCTCATCTTTTCTGACTGTTTTTCACTAGTTTTACATTTGGCTACGGTCAGTGTCACTATTGGTAGCATGAGGCGATACCTGGACCCTACAGAGGTTGCACAGGCAGTCCAACTCCTCCAGGACGGCGCATCAATACATGGCATTGCCAGAAGGTTTGTTGTGTCTCCTAGCACAGTCTCAAGGGCATGGAAGTGATTCCAGGAGACAGGCAGTTACTCTAGGAGAGTAAGAAGGTCCTTAATCCATCAGCAGGACCGGTATCTGCTCCTTTGTGCAAGGAGGAACAGGATGAGCACTGCCAGAGCCCTACAGAATGACCTCCAGCAGGCCACTGGTGTGAATGTCTCTGAGCAAACAATCAGAAACAGACTTCATAAGGGTGGCCTGAGGGCCCGATGTCCTCTAGTGAGCCCTGTGCTCACTGCCCGGCACCGTGGAACTCGATTGGCATTTGCCATAGAATACCAGAATTGGCAGGTCTGCCACTCACAGATGTGAGCAGGTTCACCCTGAGCACATGTGACAGACGTGAAATGCCTGGAGAACGTTATGCTGCATGTAACATTGTTCAGCATGACCGGTTTGGTGGTGGGTCAGTGATGGTTTGGGGAGTCATATTCATGGAGGGACACACAGACCTCTACAGGCTAGACGACAGCACCTTGACTGCCATTAGGTATCGGGATGAAATCCGTGGACCCCCTGTCAGACCCTACGCTGGTGCAGTGGGTCCTGGGTTCCCCCTGGTGCACGACAATGCCTGGGCTCATGTGGTGAGAGTATGCAGGCAGTTTCTGGAGGATGAAGGATACCATTGACTGGCCCCCACGTGTGCCTAACCTAAATCCAATAGAACACTTCTGGGACATTATGTTTCGGTCCATCTGATGCCGTCAGGTTGCACCTCAGGTTGTCCAGGAGCTCAGTGATGTTTTGGTCCAGATCTGGGAGGAGATCCTCCGGTCCAGGACACCATCCGTCGTCTCATTAGGAGCATGCCTCCACGTTGTCAGGCATGCATACAGCATGTGGGGTGGGGTGGGGGGGGGGGCACACAAATTACTGAGTATGATTTTGAGTTGCTGCAATGGAATTTCAGCAAAATGGACTAGCCTGCCGCATAATTTTTTCACTTTGATTTTTGAGGTGTCTTTGAATTCAGCCCTCTGCAGGTTGATAATTTCATTTCCATCAAACAATGTGGCATCCTTTTCTTCCTAACACATTACCCAGTCCATATCAGTATAGATATCCAGCATGATTTTTTCCCCATTAAGATCTGATGCGTTTTCAAAGTGTTTATTTTTTTTGAGCAGTGTATAAATGGCATAAAACGGCATAGAACAACAGTTAACATAATACCTGCGTAACTCGTAATGGATTCTGGGTAGAACTAACCATGTGAGGTCTGAAGGGTGACCACCACCATTTCGGCTGAGCAGTTTAGGTATGTTTAGTATGTTCTTGCATTGGACAGCACTACTTTTGTGACTAACATAGCCAAATTGAGTAACTACTGAAACTATCTTGTCTGTTATGAAGATACTAATCGACTGTCTTTTCAAAATATACTGTATAATATCTGAATTACAGCCAAAACGAACAATATAAATGTTATTATTCTTTCGCTTCGTCTATTTTATTAGATTTTTTTGTTGTTGTTAAAAAACTCACTTTAAAATTACGAATCCGAATCATACACGTACGCTGTAGTTCGAGACTGATTCATGATGGAGTAGAAATGCTTTCAGTTCCGATACAAGACCGGGTAAGTAAAAATGTGGTCTCAAAACCGGACTCAGGTTTTGACCGGACTCACGCTGTACAACAGTAAAAAAAAAAAAAAACACCCTGTGATTGTTAAGATTTGTTAAAGATACGTTTATATTATTTCCAGATATAACATTAGAATTCATTAAGTCATATTTTGTTGGAATAACTATTGTTAACGGTTATAACGCGCCATGCGATCGATGTAAAACAAATCTTTGGAGGGCGGTGATAATCTTCAGTTGCAGAGCTGCAATCAATCTAGCAGCAGATTGGCGATGGAGAAGAGCGGGCTTCCCCTCCGCACCTGCCTCAATCACGGGCTCTCTTGTTTGGCCTCTCCGCCAGACCTGCGCTTGAACTGATTACCTGGCTGCTTGTGTACAGCTGAGGTTCACTGAAGTTTACTGTTTGGAGCTGACCTGGTCCATGAAATAATCAGCATGTCGGATGCAGCGGGGCAGATGTTAAGCCTGCGTTCTGAAGATGGTGTGCAGAGCAGGAAGGATGTTAAGGAGGACGGGGAAGCCGTCGTTGTGTTGAACACCCATATCAAACACCCATTGCAGAGCCGCTGGGTGCTCTGGTTCTACAAGAACGACAAGAGCAAGATGTGGCAGGACAACCTGAGGATCGTCACCAAGTTTGACACCGTGGAGGACTTCTGGGCGCTGTTCGACAACATGCAGCCGGCGAGCAAGCTGTCGTCGGGCTGCGATTACGCTGTGTTCAGGGACGGCATCGTGCCCATGTGGGAAGACCGACGCAACAAGTGTGGTGGACGCTGGCTCGTCACGCTGTCCAAGCAGCAGCGGCACTCCGAGCTGGACCGCTTCTGGCTGGAGTCGCTGCTGTGTATCATCGGCGAGGGCTTCGGCTCCTTCAGCGGCGATGTGTGCGGCGCTGTCATTAACATCCGCACAAAGGGGGATAAGATCGCTGTGTGGACCACCAACACCGAGAACCGCGAAGCCGTCATTCACATCGGGCGCAGATACAAGGAGGAGCTTAACTTGCCGAAAAAGCTGGTAATCGGGTATCAGGCTCACGCGGACACGGCCACCAAGAGCAACTCCATCACCAAGAACAAGTTTGTCGTGTGAAGTTCCCACATCCTGTGAATTTGGTGAAATTAAGTTTTTTGGGTTTTTTTTTTTTGGTCTGTCCCGAACAACTGCTTTAAAATACCCCATAATAATCGTGGATGTGGAACACTGCTATGACCCAGCATTTCAGATTTTTTTTATTTTTTCCCATTCATCAGAACTTGTGTTGTAAGACCTGCTGTTGATTGCAGCTTCTTTTTGTCATAAGCAATTAAAATCATGGGGGGAAGAGAACTTCTGCAAACAAAGGTGGCGGTCATCTGTTTCTTTATTCTGTTTTTCTTAATCTAGTGCTAGTTGGTCTTGAATGGCTGCATCTTTATGGCCTTTTAGCAACATGTATTTTTCACCACACACTAAATCAACATCTTCATTGGCCATTTGAGTGCAGGTCATATAATCCAAGGTTAGACAGAGGGCAATGCTAGAGACACATTAATTGTAGTAATGTGGTAGTTAATTGTAATGCTGCTTTTTTAAACCTTTTAGTTGTATTTTACATATCAGTGCATTAGACTAATATCTTTGCAGTTCTTGATCTCTGGTTGCATTATTCAATGGGTACCTTTAAAAGATGTGTGGGGTGGGGGCGGTAACTACAGAGACCTAAGAAACGGAGAAATGCCCCCCACTCACTCTTTGTGGAAAATAAAGATAGAACCCCTGTCTGATACTGTCCCGATCGTTCACGAGAGACACCATTTCAACAGTCTGTGGCATTAGCGCAGAACTCTGATAAAATATGCTGAACTTGTGAAATTCTGAGATACAATGCCAAATAGTATTAACAGAGCCTGCTTACTGGTCGTGTCTATAAATTAGGCAAACTTGCATTAGGTTGTGAATATCTATGTACTTTCATCGCATCGCCACACGGTAGCTTTCAAACCAGAACATCTGCTCAGTTTCTATATCAACTAATCGTTGGTCTGTTAGTTTGCCCCACAGATGGATGGGTGGATAGATGATTTCAAAGTGTTTTCTTATGAACTGTAGCTAAGGAGTCAGAGTTTTGTTTCTCACATGCTGTCATGGATTCGGGTGGTTCGGGCACGGGAGCGTGGCATGTGGTGTAGGCTGGGAAGGAGGAGGTGGACAAACCACTGGCGGCTCAGGGAACACGGGGGTTTATTTAAACAGAAAACACTACAAAACAAAACAGACCTCAAGAGATCAGAAAGCAAAATAGGAAAAAGACTAACTACAAATCGTTCAGAGCAACAAGGAGCAGGCAGGAAGGGAGGGAGGGAAGAGAATACAAAAAATTAACTACACAGGGGAACATTCTCAGTACAACTGAAATACTTCACTGACACACAACATTCAACAAGACCTACAACAATGACCCACTAGGGAATTGAACTGAGGCAGGAACTTAAATACAGAGGGATACAAGAATAACGCAGGACAGATGGGAACAATTAACAAGGGCTTGCAAAACAGTCAACAGGTGAAACAACTAATTAACTCAATGAACTCAGAAACTAACAGGAAAACTAAGAACTGATAAAGAAACAAGGAAACAGAATCTGAACACAGGGAAAATAACGGAGGCAGGTAAAACAGAACCAAGCCAAAGCAAAAAACCCAAACTGAAAACAAAATCCTACAAAATCACAGGAACTAGAAAAACTGATAAACGAAACACTAGGGAACAAAAATACAAAAACAGAGGAGGTGGGATGTGAACACAAGACAGAGGGGTTAATAGGTAGCTGCATGCTCAGCTCATTGAACCATGCGGCCAGCAGGGCACAAGGGAAACACTAAAGATTGACAACAGGGAGGACGGGATGTCTAGCGACACCTGCTGGCCAAATGGGGAGAAGACACGAAAGACTCAGACATACGGATGCTGACCCTGACACATGCAAGGTATACAGTCTCAGCTGTACCTCAATGGAAAGCTCAAAATCTACAAGTTTTTTAATGCTATTTTTGAGCCTTAAAAAAGCATGTGGGAGTAGGCTATTTTTTCACTTAATTGGGAAGAAAGTACTAGAAAAAGTAGTCTACCTGCTTTCAAACAAATCAGTGTGATATTATTCAAAGGGGTGTAGGAATTACGAGGTTCTGAAACTACATACTAATTTCTCTCAATCCGCTTCATTCATAAATATAGCTTACAGTGCATCTCAAGTCACTGGCAGAACTATAGTCAGCGCAGCCACACTGAGGCCCACAGAAATCGGGGGCCCACTGAGGGCCAATGGGCCGTTTTGCAGGGAGGATCAGTAGGCTATTGATCTAGATTACAAAGCAGGTTACAATGCATTATGAAATACCAAAACCAAGCTATACGTATACCCAGATATATATACAAATCTGTCTCCCCTAACAACATATAAATCAAACGATACACACACACAGATATATATGCAAATCTGTCTCCTTCAGTGTCCAGTTTTTAATTTTTCTTTTTTATGATAAGACTGTAGAAGTTCATATTGTATACCTGAAGGATATTTCACAAAAATACATGGCACATCTCTCACACTTAACCATAAAGGGTAGGATGCTTTGTTGGTCATTTTTCTTATATGTCTAATTTTGGCTTTCATAAAGTTTTAAAAAATATTTAACATGCAAGAATCTAATATTTTCTATTATTATTATCCAGTATTATCAGTATGGTCGGTATTTTGATTGTTGTAAAAATGATGACACTGTGGCATGCCTATTATTGAATCATGTATGTGGGAGAATTACAGTTTGGAAGAGAATCTCAAATAAGGAGTGAAATTCATGCACTTACACACTGCCATTAAAAGGTTTGGGGTCACATAGAAATTTCCTTTCTTTTGAAAAAAGCAAGTTCTTTGTCCATTTTGTCCAAATAACATCAGCATGATCAGAAACACTTTGTAGACATTGCTAATGTTGACCAAATGACTATCACAACTGGAAACGGCTGTTTTTAATGGATTATCTACATAGGTGTACAGCAACAATGAGACCTGTGTTCCAGTGGAATGTTGTGTTTACTAATGCAAGTTTATCATTTTTAAAAGGTTAGTTGATCATTAGAAACCCTTTTGTAATTACGCTGGCACATATGAAAATTGTTGTGCTGATTAAAGAAGGAACTGGCTGTCTTTGGACATCAGCAATTGTGGGTTCTATTACAAGCTCAAAATGGTCAGAAACAAAGAACTTTCTTCTGAAACTCATCAGTCTATTCTTGTTCTGAGAAATTGACTATGCAAGAAATTGCTAGGAAACGGAAGATCTTGTACAATGCTACTCCCTTCACAGAGCAGTGCAAACTGGCTCGAAACACAATAGAAAAAGGAGAGGGAGGCCCCAGTACACAACTGAGCGAGAGGGTAAATATATTAGAGAGTGTAGTTTGAGAAACCGACACCTCATAGGTCTTCAGCTGGCAGCTTCATTAAATAGTACTCACAAAAGACCAGTCATAACATCAATGGTGAAGAGACAACTCCGCGATGCTGGCCTTCTAGGAAGAATTGCAAAGAAAAAGCCATATCTCAGAATGGCCAATAAAAAGAAATGGCTGAGATGGGAAATGAACACAGACACTGGATGGAGGAAGATTGGAAGACAGTGCTATGGATAGACAAAACTATGGGCGCTTTTCCACCGCACAAAGTATGGTACTTTCGGTACTTTCGCTTTTCCATTGACTTCCGGTCGAGTACCAGTATCAAAAGTGCCAAACCAGCTGGTGTACTTCGGTACTTTGGGGTGGGACTTGCAAACGTATTTGCTGTCAATTGGTTATGCAAATAGCCTGCCGCTGAAACACAAAATACAACCGGCATCTTTTGAAACACACAGCGAACAGAGCGATCACAGCGAGAAACAAAATAAAAAGCAGTAGAAACAAAAATATAAAAAAGTAAAATGGAAGGATGGACAAACGAGGAAACACAGACTTTAATCGCCATATGGTCAGATGAACAGATCCAGCGGGACTTGGATGACACGACTCGAAATAAAGAAGTATTTGCCATAATAGGAAGCCACTTGGAAGAAATGGGGCACACGCAAAACACCGAACAATGCCGCTTGAAAATCAAAAAACTTAAGCAGGACTACAGGAAAGTGAAGGATCATAATAACATGTTTGAATTCAGCGAAAGAAATACCGCGCTGCGCTTTGTGATGATGTCAGTCAGGGGCAGTCAATGATGATGTCATTTGGTGCCGGTACCAGTTCTTACGCCAGTGGAAAACCGACACAAAAGAAGTACCATACTTTTGGTACTTTATCGAAGTACCGAAAGTACTGTACGGTACCTGGTGCGGTGGAAAAGCGCTCTAAGTCTGAGGTGTTTGGATCATATAGAAGAACGTTTGTGAGACACAGATGAAATTAAAAGATGCTGGAGGAGTGCTTGATGACATCTGTGAAGCATGGTGTAGGCAATGTGATGGTGTGGGGGTACTTTGGTGATGGTAAAGTGGGAGATTTGTACAGGGTGAAAGGGATCTTGAAGAAGGAAGGCTATCACTCCATTCTGCAATGCCATGCCATACCCTATGCACAGCGCTTAATTAGAGCCTATTTCGTCCTACAACAGGACAGGGACCAGCTGTAATGCAGCTTGTGAGATGAAATTTGACCCCGTAAAATAACTTTAGACTTTTGTATAAGTTGCCATGTAACAGTAATCTGTTTGAGTTTTCCAAAAAGCGACGGCAGGGCCATGTAGCTGTAATGGTAAGAAACGTAAAGCTTATAAGAAATTACTGCGAATTATCATTGTTTTGCTACCTGTGGAGCAGAAAAGGCACTATTTCTCAAAGGGGAATTTTTAAAATATAAACAAAGAACATCTAAGCTCTGCAAGGTGTGTGTTGATCTAATTCACATGTCAGCTTTCATCACAATCAAAAATGATGATACAAAGGCCATTTGCTGGATTAAAAGAAGACACAAAAGAGGCTGCTCTTCTCGAGAAAGCTGAACGGCTTCAGGGTGCCATTCTAACAAAATGCTGGCACCACTGAGGGCATTCTGACAGAACAGTGTGGTTTGGTAACCGGATGGCAGAGATTCTCAAACTGCTGCAAAGACCAGTCAGGAAGGTCACTGGCTCTGACCTGCCACACCTCCAACACATTAACTCCACCTGCTGAAATGGCTGGGACTGTTGGACTGGTCCTATAGACGACACAGGTGGCCCCCAATTTCACTTGCGTGTGGCGATCTAGGAGTACAGACGCTCCTCTACTTACGAACGGGATACGTTCCGAACCGTTGTTTGTAACTTGAAATGTT